GTTGCAAACGTTGTACAGTTGCAAACTTCCTGTAACATATTAGTTTGTTCATTCCATTTTGTTTACAAGCAGAAAATTTCATACTGTAATTGAAATAACTGAACGCTGTTCTAGAATTCACAGTATTCAGTGAAAAAAGAGGATAACTGCGCTGCACCAAATTCAGGAATGAACGCAGAGAAATAATGATTCTAGAAATCACCGACATAAAGTTGAGTTGATTTATTTTCAAATTAAAAAATTTGAGATAGATTTTTGTGAATATGAATTATAAGGGCAGAGGAAGGCTGAAAAAGGGATGGATGGACTGTGTGAAAGATAATATGGTAAGAAAGGAAGCGAATCACGACATGACTGTGAACAGGGATGAATGGAAGAGAAAACATATTGCGCCGACCCCAAATAAATGGGATAAGGATGAAGCATATTTTCATTTTATAAATCGTTTTCATTGAAACAATAATATTAGCTGTATATTTTGTACTGTAAAAAAGAATAGAATAGTTTTTCTGTATTTTCTCAGCTGGAATGTAGTTCTCATACAATGGATTGTGACATGCTAGTATAAGAAAATATATAAAAGAAATACAACGGATCTTCGTAAATGATTTTACTATTGTGCTACAAAGGCACTTTGCGTAGCTTGAAAAAACTATGTTTCCAGTTTATTTTGTTTTATATAAATAGATATCAGAACATTTTCTACAGTCTAATCTCATTTGGAAGACGATGGAGGCGAGTTTCTTGTCTGCAATTTCCGGATTAAAGTAATAATAATAATAATCTCAGGATAATTCACACAGCACCATCTAGACCCAAGATAAGCTAGCTAAAGCTTGTGTTATGGGTACTAGATAACTGATACATATACATAGATTTTTTTTTTGTAAATAAATACATATTATACATAGAAAACACCCAGACCGCTACAAACAATCATACTCATGAATACAAATGTTTGTGCCGTGCGAGGAATCGAACCCGCGACCATCGGTCGTAAAGCGGTGTGCTAGACCGCTAGACCACCGAGGTCGTCTAAAAAGTATACATTCGGAGCAAATGTTAAACTTAACTTATTATGTCTCTAACTATATGAATAAAGATATTTAAATTTCATAACACTCTTTTAAAACCTATTAAATTGTATGTGATGTGATGAGTAGATGAGACAGCTTTCCGAATGAGTTGTAGATTAAAAATAAATATATGAGGACTATTCGAAAGTGTTTCAATGTTAATTCTTCAATTCTAATCTATTCTTTAAAGTCAATATTACCAATAGTCTGCCTTATGGATAATCATTGCCTACCTCTAAATAGTACCACATACATAAAATTTAATATATTATTTACTTAATAATAATTAGCTTTATGATGGCCTGGATAGTCTAGCGATTTAGCACACCGCCTTACTTCGGTTGGTAGCGGGTTGATTCCTCGCACTACAGAAATATTTGTATTCATGAGTATGATTGTTTGTCTGTGTGTTTTCTACGTATAATATAATATGCATGTATTTACGAAAAGAAATATATCTATGTATTTGTATCAGTTATCTAGTACCCATAACACAATGTTTAGCTAGCTTAACTTGGGTCTAGATGGCGTTGTATTAATTGTTCAAAGAAAGAACAAAAAGTTTTTTTTAACAGGTAGCTCATATATATAGCAAGTTAATAGTAGAATTAGTTAAGACAGAGGTATCCACTAAAACAATTTTGTGCAATGTCTTTGTCTCACCCAATTCTGCGCCAAGTAGCTTACCAACTTTGCAAACTGTATTCTGCAGCGATCGTGAGATAATTGCATGAAATTATAGAGTAGCGAAGCATAACTACTTAGTCCTGAGAATGCAACGCACGAGAGATATCTATGGTATAAATGTCAGATACAATAATAATAATAATAACCATGGGATACTTCATACAGGACGATCTATTTAGTCCTAAGCTAAGCAAACTTATATAAAATATCTAAATATATATAACTCAAAGGTGACTGACGTAGTGATCAGCACACAGCCCCAATCACTGGACGGATCGGTCTGAAATTTAGCAAACAGGTAGATGTTATGACGTAGGCATCCGCTAAGAAAGGATTTTGATTAATTCTACCCCCAAAGAGATAAAACAGGGGATGAAAGTTTATATGAAACTTTGTCAATTTTAAATCGATCGGGCTGAGACTTTGCATGCATAAAGCTACTATGACATAGACATCCCGTAAGAAAGGATTTTGATAAATTCCTCACCCAAGGGGATAAATTAACGCGAGCGAAGCCGCGGGCAAAAGCTAGTCTTATATAAAATGTATATAGTATTTATATCAAATTCAAACTCAAAAATCATTCATCCATATAGGACATTTAAGCCGCTTATGAACATCAAATATTTTTTCCCTACCGTATCTATTACTATTACTACTAGTTATCTATTACTAGACAACCGATATAAATACTTATATACATTTTTTAAATATACATAGTACATATATAAACGTGGATGGACAAAAAGGGAAAGGACACCCAAAAATGATGAATAGATTGTGAAAGATGATATAAATAAAAGGAGAGTACGTTCAGATATGACAGCTGATAGACCAGTGGAAGAGGATGACATAATGTGCCGACCACAAATAATGTAATTAAGGCTAGACATAACATACATAGATGAGGATACACGTAATGTACATAGAAAACAGCCATGGCAGTACACATGAGTACAAATGTACTGGGCGAGGAGTAGAATCCGTGAACTCCAGAAATAAGACAGTGTGATAAGTCTACTCATAAATATAGACGAAGGTTATCTGTCACCATCAAGTGGACCTACAATTCGTTTGCAATTACTAATTCATAAAAAAACACATAAATTAGATCAACAACACGGAAATATTTCCAATCAATCGCTCAAGCAGGTACTAAATGTTCCAGTTTTTAGAAGCATTCATAAATTCTCGTCATATTAGTGTCAACTTACGTTTAGACGCGGGTGTGACAAGTGCTTACCCGTATCATACTATATTTTACCGTGTCTCAAGAATACTGCAGAAATCTTGTCAATCTCTGGCTTCATTCCAAGGTCTCCCTCGGGAGCTGTACAGTGTCCACTCAATTGCGTTTAATACTATACTTCTTATGTAGATATCTCAAACCAAATGGATAAACAGACCGAAGAAATTAATAACATGTCCTTCTATTATCGTGCTACTATTATAACAGTGAAAGTTTGAGTATGATTGGATGTTTATTACTCTTTCACGCAATAACTATGACTGAACGGATTTTAATGAAACTTTACAGTAATGTAGCTTTTACATCGGATTAATAGATAGGCTATTTTGATGTGGGTGAATTCGCTGCCACAGCTATTCATACATATTTTATTCATTTATATTATGTATGTATTTACAATATATATATCAGTTGTCTAGTACTTATAACACAAACTCTGCTTAGTTTGGGACTGAACGACGCTGTTAGAATTGTAAACATTTTTTTTAATCAATATTAATAATGATATTTGTTTTTTTTTCCGTCTTTATGTACACATAAGATGATGCAAACACTAATAACAAAACCATATAAATTTTAAAGAGTACTATCACCGTGCTACTTTAGGCTTCATATAGCCTGGAAAATACGTTTGTCAAGTGTTGCGTTTACTAAAATTAACTGTTAGTTTATTTTTGGTAAATCCTATCCTACCATCCTTCCGGGGACCCGTCAGCGTAAACCGCCAGTGCAGGCGAGTGCACAGTGCAAATTATAATTTACTTTTTATTTTTTCATTCAGTTTCATTCTTAAATTTATCTAAAATTGGAGACATATTTATTACGTCACAATTATGACAACTTTTCACGACTCACAATTTAAACTCCAAAAATATTGCGGGGCTACGGAAATAAAAGGATAATGGGAGCAAAAGGGGTATAGAGTTGAAACGAATAGCGTTTTACAAAAGGGAGATAAAATGGCACGACGCGCGACGGGCGTGGGAGATGAAATATGGCTAATTAATGTTCATTTCATATGTGGCACGGACCACGCAACGGATGAAAAGAGATTATTCAGGTTGAATGCTTATGCGCAGTGTATATCATATACATACTAACCGTGCCCGCGACTCGTCCACGTGGAATAGACGAATAACGTATTTTTATACAAACATCTCCTATTTTATAGTTATCAGAGTAAACCAGTCCCTACAGGGGAGAAAGTGGATTGTTAGTAATGTGGATTGATGATCTTATTGCTAACAATGTACCATGTCAGTTTCACCTCCTCGCGGTTCCCCCTGGAAACTATCGTGACAAATTCTTGGTGAATTTGTCACGATGGGCTAACTAACCTGACTGCATGCTCATCTTATCATCCTCCACTAGCGCCCCGCCAGCGTGAACCGTTAGAGCAGGCGGGTGAACTATTCCATTGTCATCCATAAGAAAAAACTAGTCCCTACAACCATCTCCCATTCACGAATACAACGTGTGAGTAGATTTACATGAATCCTTATTTTTTTTTATATATACATAGAAAACATCCAGACCGAAACAATCATATTCAAGAACACGAATGTTTGTACCATGCAAGGAATGAAATTTAAAATATAACGGTGTGCTAAACAGCTAGATCTGAATTAAACAATTATTGAATCCAGACCTAGCTCGTTGTTTATAAGTTACTTTAATAATACAATTATATTACTTTCTTTGTTACCTGAACACGGTGTTATGTATTCTAAACTATACAAATTGATTTAAAGCCAAATATTTATGATTTATTAGGGTTTTTAGTTATTTTAATAATACAATCGTTACTTAAACATAGTATTGTGTATTCTAAAAACTATACAAATCGATTTTAAGCCAGAGCAGCTATTCATACATATTTGAGCAACGCTATAAATTAGGACTCATAAACCTTTTTTTTTAATAACATAAATCTTGTAAGTAGCTGGCTATAGATTTATATTTGATGTTTTATTTTTTTTTGTCCACAGAGCCAAGCCATGAGAATTGTGCGTACTGTGGGCCAGGCCTTTGAAGTGTGCCACAAAATGCAGATCAACACCCCCGAAGACCCAATACCATCCACGTCATCTGCCATAGACGATCACGTGGTGGTCGATGACCCACCAAATTCCAAAGGTTTGATTCCCTCCTGCTGTAGGAGAATGGAAGACGTATTCATATTTACGAGTCATAATGTACGGAGCATTTATAAAACCCATTTGTCCTTATAAAATCAAAATACAGATCCATAAACATAGCGGATTATTTTCTACGTATAACAATAATTATAAAACTTATCATAGATTATGATGTAGCGTTATACCATAAATTATGATAGACAACTTTTTTTTTTTATAAACTAAAACACTTTTATTTCAAAATAATAAATACTCAAATATTTTTATCAATATTTAAATATAATATATTTACCTATAATTAACACTTACAATAATTCTAAGTACGTATATCATATATCAGCAATTAAGTTAGCCTTTTGTGTCACACGCTGCTATATGCAGATGACAGCTAATCTTCTTACGTACTGCTTGCGATAAATCCATTATCCTCTATTAAATATGTATCTACAAATATATATATCTATCTGCCAAACGAAAACAAGCTGCGCGAAATTAATTTGCGTTTGGCTCGTTGCGAATTTTCATCGAACTAAGCGAATATTTCAAGCTTAACAATCTTGTACAACAAATACAAATAATAATTGACGCATTATAGTGCGGTCCTAGTTAAACATTAACAAGACGGTTTGCTACTGTTATTGTTATGTTCCAAATACGAAATGCTCGCGATGATACCATTATTTCATTTTACACACCCGTTTTAACACTCACAAACCAATAAGAATTAACACTATAAGTACAATATTTGAGATATTCAGTTATGGAATTGATAAACTGGAACACTGCCCGAATTTTGTTGCGAAAATTTAAAGTTTGGTGGATTATGGTAGGTCATGTTCATTATAAGGCCGGGTCTTCAATAACTAACCTTATAAATAGTATCTTCCATTGAGTATTTATACAAGCGCATTCTGTTTCTTTCAAAAACAATATTAGCGGTTATTTATTGCAATCATGTTAGGGTGAAAATTAATAATTTTACAAATTATGTTCACTGAAGTTTTAATACACCAAACTTGAAATTAAGTGATCCGCTTGACTGTCTACAGACGCTATTAGTTTCTGTGAAATTTATAGTCTGTAGCAGCATCATTTGTTACCTGCTCGGCACAGAGTTCCATTTTTTTATTATTAACTTTACGAATATACACATAAGCTATGTTTAGAAATAGGATAGCTTATTTATGAATAATTTTAGCATTTCAAAAGCGTCTTACCACTCATGAAGTCTACATAGTCTGTCAATTGTCAAAACCAATTAAATGAATGTTTATTTACCAAATCTCTGATAACGAACTGAAATATTAATGATAGAACATGTTGCATACACATCTACCAGAATAGTATACTTTGGAAGTATCTGAATACATTGTAACTATAAAAAATTCTGTAATTCAATAAGAGTTGTAATTAAATGTTTGAGGTTTTAGTTTATATATAATTTTTAAGTAATCATTCGGTAATGTATTGACAATCCAATAATATCAATACAATCATATATTGTGCCTTAATTAACGTCGAGTAATTTTGTACTATGATTATCCGCTATCTGATATTTATAGTACAAACTCTGCTTTGTATGTTGCTTTATTAATTGCATTTTTTTACTGGATATATATATAATTATAATAATAATTATATAATACATTTAGTTTTAATTGACAGACTATATAGATCTTGTGAACCTTATAGTATGTACGCTGCTCTTGGATACTTGACTTCAATATGACATGTTTCCTGACTATTCTATATTTGAGCGGTTCAGAATGTCATGATCTGTCTTGAAATGCAAACATAAATATAATAAGGACGACAGGCAACTGGCTTGTCGTGTATATTATACTACTACTGCATCCATTGAACATCTTAAGAGGCGTTTAAAATAATGAATGAATCAGAAACTCTTTATTCTTCCTTTCACAAAAAAAATAACAACAAGCTACAGACATATGTAAATATGTATAAAAATTTATATGTGAAAACATTTACAATAACTTTCAATTACAGTACAATATAATATTCTTAGAATAAAAAAAATCTTTTAATTAAAAAATCGAGTACTATCTCTTTTCATAAAGTTCTTAGTTATTATAGTTGTACATATATCAGTCGTATTCTTCCTTTCATTCTGAGCGCACGTATACAAGTTGTCATAGAAATTAATTACCTACCTTCATTATGGAAAAGTGTGATAAATGTAATAAATCAATAACAAAAAGAATCCCTGGTTTGGAGTGCAGTAGATGTGAAAAACTGGTTCATCTCAACACCTTGTGTTCAGGCCTTTCCAACAAACAGTTGACGGCAATACGCGCGTCAGAGAACCTAGAATGGACATGTCAAGAATGCCAAAGGTCAACATCTAAACGCAGTTCTATCGTAGTTCCTGACGATGACACTGATGAAGACGGAAACCAATTACTTAACACAGAAACAAACCAAATAAATATGAAGAAACTCCTACAAAACATTTCAAAAGAAGTGGAAAAGGCTGTTAGAAGAGAAATCAATGAACTACGTGTCTCTCTTCAATACCACAGTGAAAAGATGGATGAAGTAATGGAAGTCGCAGAAGCATGCAAACAAGCAGTTCAGGACATCCAACGTAAAAATATAGATTTAATAAATAGAAACAAGCATCTTGAAACCAGAATTAATGCAATGGAGCAAAGAATAGAAGAAATTGAACAACACCAAGTAGCTAGACACATTGAAATCTCAAATATTCCTTATACCGAACAAGAAAATATAAAAAACATCGTGGACAAGGTAGCAATATTACTAAAGCAACCGATAAGTGATATCAAGGCCGCTCGCAGATTGTCACGGAAGAGGGATTCTCCTGGCGTCGTACAGGTAGAACTTAAAGAAGAAGAAATGCAAGAAAGCTGGGTATCTGCTTCTAAAAACTGTAAAATATATACCTCCAATTTAATGCCGACTACGTCTCCAGCGGCTGCTCAAAATCGGATATTCGTACGTCCATTTTTAACAGCATACAACAAAAAACTACTATGGAGTACTAAACAATCACTAAACGGAACCTACAAATATATATGGAGCAAAAAGGGAAAAATATTTATACGGAAAGATGACAACTCTAAACCTGTTATACATATTCGAGGAGAAGCAGACATCAAGAAACTTTGTAACGTACCATAATATTAGATACTTATATAGATACCCTACAATATAGATATATATATATTAAAAACATCCAAAATGGATATTACAGAACTATTTAACTGCCATAGTATTGATCACTTCTTGAATTGCATTCCGACTAAGATTAACAATTTTATATGTATACATATAAATATACGATCTATAATAAAAAATTTTGCAATGTTAGAACAGTACATACTTAATAGTAAAACCTCTATAGACGTAGTAGTGCTAACAGAGGCAAATATATCAAATTCTGTTTGTTCTCTTTATGGTTTAGATGGCTATAATATGCACACAGAACTGCGAAACACACGTAAGGGAGGAGGTATAATAATCTATACTCATAAAAAACATACTTTTACAAGGGTTAAAATAAAAACATTCCAGTGCGAATCTATAATAGGTTATATAAAAACACCATCAAACTACGTCGCAGGTCTGTGCTCAATATACCGTCCACCTAATTATAGTAAACATTTGTTCATACACGAACTTCATAAACTCATAACATCACTAAATAACACTAACGATATGTATATATTAGGGGACATCAATATAGACACCGCACTCAATAACCCTATAAAACATAAATACATTAACATGATGTCAAGCTGCGGCCTTGAGCCCGGGATTTCAGATCATACACGAATCGAAACTTGTAATGACAAAACAAGCAGATCTTGCATAGATCACATCTTTGTAAAATCCCGAACTCAAGATATTTACTCCGCTGCTCTCAGTGTCGTACTGGCGGATCACCGCGCCGTAATAATGGCGAGCATAGGCCAACCACGTGTACAGAGTGTTCCAAAATATAAAGTTTTATACGATAATGAAAAACTTAAAAATATGCTTTGTGAACTAAATTGGGACACGATCGCTCAGAACCCATGTCCAATTACAATATATAATATCATTAAAAATAGTATTCATGAATGTTATAAAAATTCGAAAATATATAAAAAAATAAATATAAATTCTAATAGAAAAAATAATACATGGATAAATAAAAAAATTATAAATGCCTGTAACTATAAAGATACATTATATACGTTATGGAAAAAGGATAGTAATAATATGATATTAAAGCTAAAATATAATAAAGCTAGAAATTATGCTCATAAATTAGTACAAAAGGCTAAAAATAGTGAAATTATTAAATCTATCGACACTAACAAGAATAACTCTAAAAATTTATGGGATATATTAAACAGAATAACCGGTAGAATTAGAAAATCAGTTGATGAAATTATACTACAAGCATTTGAGAAAAATTTCATGAAAGCTAGTGATATTGCGAATAACTTTGCAAACACCTTTAACAATAGTGTAAAGTATATCATACCATCTTGTACAACAAAGCTTCTTGATCCCAAAATATATAAAAACCCCATCAACTTATCTATGCGCCTTAAAAAAGCAACAGCATGTGATGTTAATAAGATTATTAAATCAATTAATCCTAATAAAGCACCTGGCGTTGATTCCATAAGATTTAGTGACATATTGTTACTTAATGATAAGATATCTCCGGCGATATCACAACTAATTAACAATAGTGTAGCATCTGGATATTATCCTGATGAACTCAAAAAAGGGTTAGTCCGTCCTATCCACAAAAAAGGTCTAAAGGACAACTATGATAATTACCGACGTATTACTATTTTAACAGCAATAGATAAAATTATTGAAAAGTATATCAGTCAACGCATATACGATTTTTATAGTTCGAATAACTTATTAACAGAGAAACAGTTCGGGTTCCAACCACATAAGAACACAACACAATTGCTATCACAGTTTACAGACAGTGTGAATAAAAGCCTAAAT